GTGATGGGTGGTGGATGGATCATGGAAGCAATATCGTTTGTAGTCGAATCCAATAGCCCTTATTTCTTTCTCTTCGACATATGGAACTGTTCGTCAGGAATATTGATATTTATCTGCGTGGTGTTGAAACGTCGTGTACTTCGTTTGATGAAGAAAAAGTGAGTCTGTTTATTTATTTTTTTTTTCCAATGTCAACTTATTGAGCTATAACGAAAGCTTTTATATTTCTGTTCTAACGAATAATTATTTAGTATCAAATGTGGGTTCTATGGATAAAAATTTCGATACTTATGATCTGTGTTAATTTATTTTTCGATTCTCCTAGATACAACCGAATCCTCCAACGATCAATCTCAGCGTCTGAAGATCCTGCCACGCACAGTTCCACCATTGGTGATCCAAGAGCAAACATGCGATTACAACGACTTATATCAAATATTTCGGCAGCAAGATCCATTTATTGACCGAAATACATTATCTTCATAGAGAGATATAGAATGTTAGCGTGGTTGGTTCCCGGCATAGGACATTGATTTTGATCGAAAATGAAGGGATATTTTTTCCGAAGAAAAATAAATCTTATTTCATTACAAAAGACTCCATAAAATTAATTATTTTAATTCGGAATTATCAGAAATGAACAAAAACTCAAAATAATAAAAATTCAAATGGAAATTTCATTTTTCATTTTTACATCGCACTGTCACAAGAGAAGCGTATACAACACACAAGACACGAACTGCGGCTAAGTGTGTTCACGCGCGCGTCGCTTACGATGTGTCTTTGTGTTATATATGCTTCTCTCTCTCTCTCTGTTTCCGTGTGAATCATACCCCAAATATCAAACTGATTTTTGTTTGTAACTTTGCTAGAAATGGTTCTTGACTAATCTGTCAAACATATACCAATACATTGCGCCTGTAAGGCACATAGATGTCGCTGGCAGTCAGGTTTCTCTCAATATAAAAGATATGGTGTGAATGCAAGAGACAAACACTGTGTGTGTCCGAATCGGGAGATGAACGAACGCGCGTCACATCGAATATGCACGCAACCAATAGCTGCAGTTAAACAGATCTGTTCACCAGCAGCGCTACATAGCCAGCAACTTCAATGCTCTTATCATGAAAGCCTGTTTTTTTCACAAAATTTCATGAAAAAAGTACTTTGTCCGAAGTATTTGTACATTTTCTTCAATTTCTCCAAATTTCTCAAAAACGGTTAGAAAATTCACGACAACTTTTTGTGAATTCAGTTAAATAGCTTGATTATTGCAATTTCAGCACTTTATGTATTCTTTTACGTTTTTTACTCTGTGCTGGAAATTTGATTGCAGAGCAAAATTTCTTCAAAAATTCACTCGAAATTATAATCAATAGTTTAGCGTCGCAAATGGATGAAAATAAACTGACCATAGCAGACATAAATCGCTCACTTTATATACGGTGGGGAATTAATCAATAAAAATTAAATCAAATTAAATCCTGTATGGGATATGAAGGAAACGTTTTGGAACAACAACAAAACAGGCCAACATAAATTGTGATTTTATTGATTGAAATTTGGATATATAGACGTAGAGAATGCCATTATCAAAACGAACTTTCATTCTGTGCTACGCAAATATTGTATATCATGATAAAAAAAATATGAATATAAATTACTATAGATTGGATTTACTGGGCGCATAACAGTTATAGTTGACATAATATGATTAATATTTTGAATTGAAAATGTGCAACATAGTAAACAGCAGTCAATTGCATTCTATCAACATGGAGCCTTTCTAGACGAAAATGATTTAGATAAATTAGAAAGGATAAATTGATATCATATGACAGAAATGGGGAAACGTATGACAAGAATGGGTAAACGTATGACAAGAAATTGGAAAACGTATGACAGAAAATGGGAAAACGTATGACAGAAAATGGGAAAACGTATGACAAAAATGGGTGGAAACGTATGACAAAAAATGGGAAATCGTATGTCAGCAAATTGGAAAACGTATGACAAAAAATAGGAATAAGTATGACAACGTTAAAAAATGTATTTCTAACAAAAAAAAAAGATCTGATTGACATAAAAGACAAATTAAAATGTTCGAAACTCCTTGAAATGAGAAATTCTTTGTGAACGTTACTCTCTTTTGCAATGTTGAAGTGAAAAAGTACATATTTATATACAGTGCTTGTAGTACACTTGCCAGCACCAGTTGGTGTCTCGGTGCCATTAATGTACATGATAAATGGAAACTGTGAAAAGTTGCTGTAACGTCGCGAAATACGTCGAACATTTGCAAGTAGAATTGTGATAGGTCATCTTACTGTGTGCGAATTCATTCATTAGATTGTTTATTTGTTTTCGTATCAAGTATCATATACATAAAAACTCAAAGGAGCCATATCATTTTCGTGTGTATGTAATTCAGCGACTGCAGTTGAACGCACACCCCATCAATTGGTGTCTAAAACTTAAAATGAACACAAGAGGGACACAGAAGACAATAAAATGGTACACATCATAGGATTGAAGGTCCTATGATGTGTACCATTTTATTGCCTTTTTTCATTCTGACTCCCCAAATGGCGTGTTAGAAAGAGATGGAGAATCCTTCTTCAGTTGCGGAAACCCAGGCAGGGTATATCCCAGACAAAATAATACTAGTGGAGCAGAAATCGCGCGGGAATCAAACCCTTCTTTCATCTCAAAACTTATTTATTTAATTATTAAATTAATTACGAATAATATATATATTTCAAATCTAATGTTGAAGGCAGTTAATACAAATTCTTTTTAACTACATTTGCTTTTTTTGATCGATGAATAATAGATAACAGCCTTTAATTCTATCCGCTCTCGCTCCGAACAAGCAACCGACAATAAAAAAGAAAAGAGTCAGTAGGGATAAGAGCGATAAAAAGCATGTTTTATACGTTAAAAAAACGTTTGATATCAACTCTTAATATCTATGAGATTGGGAGCCGCATATGTATTTTGGCCGACTTAAATTTTGATAAATTAGAGTATGTTTCACTCGTAATTTTTTGAGATTTTCATTTTAATGACAAAAAAAAAGTCGATTTGATGTCTTCGTAAAAATTGTTGCTCACCAATTGAAAACATTCTCTACTTTTTTCAATACAAAGTCTATGAAAAATACTCAATCTTTGATATTTAGAGAAAGAGATAAAGAGAAAATTTTCTGTTGAGACCACTAAAAATACCGGTTTTTAATTCTTTTATCGATTGTCATACGATTTCCCATTTTCTGTCATATATTTTCCTATTTCTGTCATACGTTTTCCGATTTGCTGTCATACGATTTCCCATTTTTTGTCATACGTTTCCACACATTTTTGTCATACGATTTCCCATTTTCTGTCATATGTTTTCCCATTTTCTGTCATACGTTTTCCCATTTCTTGTCATACGTTTTCCGATTTGCTGTCATACGTTTCCCCATTTCTGTCATACGTTATCCTCTCACCCAATTAGAAACTGTTGCAGTTAATTGAACGATGGGAAAGAGAATGACTAGAATTTCATTTCATTTAACGCAAATTTGAATATAGAGAATTGGAGAGAATTTGGAGTGTTGTTTCGTTTTGCATCAGTTTAAAATTTGAAAATTAATTAAAATGCGATAAACAACGAAACATCTGGTTTGTTTGTTGAAACGAGACATGTTGTTAACTCTGTCACTTATTGCCAATACAAACCATTTTTTCGTTCCAAATACGCACATCAATTTTTTGTTCGATTGTAAGATCAAACGTAACTATATACCATATTTACTACGTAAATATTTTGATGCACAGGAAGAACCTTCGCTCATAAAGAATCTTCATTAAATATGTCGTTTATTTGTCAATTTCTTACCAAGTGTTCGAAAAATTGAACAATTTGTATGGGCAATTTGGTAGCAAAGGTTAAATTTATTCCTTCGATAAAGCTGACCATTAGACCAATGCTAACCACGTTTTTAAACGTTGTAGAATTTGCTTCGTTCACTTCACATGCTTATGCAATATCGATGCAGACAATCTGTGTGAAAAAAGCTACCGTCTGGGAATATCTAATTTCTTATTGTCATTTTCGACTAAAAAATCTTTTAATAACCGAAAATTGAAAAGAGTCTTGTTTTTATTGACACCTTAATAAATTCCTTGTATTGACGCTTGGCACATTTTGCTCAATATCAATGACACACTTGTTTTACGCTATCAACCCATTTTACGACACCGCATAGAGCAGTTCCATTGAATAGTGTCTATATTCTGGACCGGATATTTTAATTAACAATATGATGAAATATGTAGAACAAAAGTGCAAAATTTTCGTCTTCAATCATAACATCGATGACATGAACATAAAATAATAAACAATAAAATGTTTATACAATTTGAAGAATTTTGTCGCTCAAAGTCGGCGAATATTTTGTACATTAAATTCCGTTGTATCGGTATAAAAGACGGTGCTTTTCCATCGAATCAACCAAACAGTTTTGAGAGCTGCAAACGAGCTCTTAATAAAGTTTTCTTACTGATCAATTCAGGGCATTATTTATTGTTGGTGCAAGTGAATTCAATGAAGTCAATATTATTACTAGCTTTGTCTATGTGCCTGGCTTGCCATGCACAATTCGATTTCAACTATGGTGGTATGTGCAATTTTAAACTATGAAGTAAATGGTGTTTAATGTAGATTGTGCTCAAAATTTTACTTAATTTTAAGAAATGGACAGTTTTGGAGGTGCTGAAGCAATGAGCATGGCCGAGGCATCATCGTCATCTTCATCAGACTCGTCATCGGCAAGTTCAAGCAGTTTTGCTCAGTCATTTGCAAGTGATGGACAGTTTGATGGACAAAGTGCCAGCTCATCGAAAGCATCATCGTCGTCATCCGAAAGTCAATCGTCATCGTTTGCCGTTGCAGAATCGATGGCTGGTGCCTCAGGAGGTTCCGATGGCAATCAATCAGGTAGAAAAAAAAACCACAATCACAAGCAGCTCAAGCCGTGCCTGCTGTACAAACCAAAAGTCATGGTGGCCACAGTTGCCACTCAAGTTTCACGAAAAAGACGCAATGCTTCTGCATTCGCATGTTATTTAACCCGGCACATTGTTCGACGCTCGCGTAACAATTGGCAAAATTTAAGTTTTCCGTTTGGCACAAGCATTTCGTGATTTTATTTTTATTTCTAAGACTAAAATCCGCGCTTTTCCTTTATATTTTTGCAATTTAAATACCAAAATCATTCAATTGATATATGTTACACAGTTCGTTTTTACAATGTATCCGGGCTAAAACTTGCACCCAGTTTTGAGTTCTGATTTGTCAAGCCATCTGTTTCGAATTAAATTCGAAATGGTTTTGATTCCATTTATGATCACATTCGAAACGGATACAATCCCGAATCATTCTCTTACTCAAGTGTGTTTTGCAGAGAATATCTGCACATAGATTTATTCAAATAAAATTAAAAATATCAAATAAATTTATCGATATTTTTCATGCGTTACGATGTTTTAACGCATTCGCAGTACAAAATTCATATTCCCTGCCAAGTCAAAATTGACCCAGAAGAGAATATGAACTTTGTACTGCAGAAGCGTTACAACAACGCAACGCATGAAAAATATCGATAGATTTATTTGATATTTTTAATTTATTTGAATAAATCTATGTGTAGATATTCTCTGGTGTTTTGTTCATAATTTCAAAGCGATTTTGCCTTTTGGAACGTAGCACACCGTCGAGTTCATCTTGAACAATCAAATATATAATTAATCTTTACGACATTACTTAGTTGATATGAATAATTTATTATTATCTTTCTAAAATTTTAGCCGCATCAGCTACGGCAAGCAGCAATGGTGGCAGTGCTATCTCACAAGCAGGTAAGACTTTGCTTGAATGTATCTTGGAATCACTTTTAGCCACATTTTGAGCCTCATTTTGTTATATACAATTCCAGCTGCATCAGCCAAATCAAGCGGAAATGGTGAAGCAATGGCAGGTTAGTAGCGAAAATTCTTCAAGTTCTGCTTGACTATCTCACCAGTCGATACTGGATTGCTATAGCAAATAGTTAATATTTAAACGATGCAAATTCGCAACTAAAACATTTGCGTTTTCGAAACTTTTCACAGCTGCACAAGCCACATCTCAATCAAACGATGGAGCATCACATGCAGGTAAAAATCAATGGACAAAGTCAAAAAAAGATCCAAACTTTATGACGTCAAACGTCATTGTGATTCAAAAAAATTACTCATGAAAAAAGCTAATAAAACAATCTTTCATCCGTTTTTCTTCTAGCTGCATTAGCTCAAGCAGAAGCCAAATCATCAGGATCCGCTCAAGGTACCTAATTTTTCTGATCAATACATTTCCTTTCTGGTTTGTAGCTATATAGTAAGTGTTGCATTGGCTGTGTTGACTGTATGAAATTCAACCGTATGAACAACTGACATTGTTCCATTGTTAAGAGCTTTCAATTTTGTAAGCTGTGCTCGTAAGGGCCCAGTCAAGGATTATTTTGTGTGGTTTTATTCTCATAGCTTGCTCTCATCATATTCTGGCGTAATAGAGTGAACCAAAGTCGCTTTCTTTGTATACAAATACATGGGAAAGATTTGACGTAAGACGACAAGACGCCTCTACGCGTGAAATGCTCGAAGCTGTCATCGCACACATATTGAACACGAACATTGTCGTTTACACAATTGCACTCACACAAATGAACGCATCGATAGTGCCCGCTTAATATATGTACGATGACTGTTTTGAGTGTCCCTCGCTTAGAGTGCTGCGTGTCGTTTTTCTTCGTTTATTAAGCGATCTTGAGTGAACGATTGAAAATCTTAAGTAGTTTGTTTGTCTCTTCTTGAGTTCTTAAGTTTTCTGCACAATTGAGATTTACGAGATTTAAAGCTTTCGAATAATAACTGAAACCGAAAGTAGGACGTGACTTATCACTGAAATTAGTAGACTCTACATATTAAAATCGTACCATCAGTGTACTCAGTCACAGTATTCTTTTGAATTTTTTCACAATAGGACAATCAGGTGCGGAAGCGGCAGCTGGGGCATTGGCTCAAGCTAAAGGTAAAAATTTTCATATTTATTCATGTCATAAATAAATTTCCAGAACTACCAAAACAACAAGAAGACAGCCAATGACACTTATAAACCAGCTCATTGAATATTTCGAGCAAATTGTTTCAACCGTGCATGACTTGACTGAATATGTCTCAATGAAGCAGCGGACTTGTCATCACACGCGTAGATGTAGCATTTCACTTGATTTAGCAATTCGTTAGTTGCCGTTCAGTCGATATACCAATAAAATCCCAATATTTGGTTAGCCGAAGCATGATTTCATTTGCGATCAATTCACACTAAATATAATATCGTACTTCACCGTAGTAGCCATGGATCATACATACGCTATGTCCAATGTCCATATACATAATAATATAAGAATCTCACGTGAAATATCCAATGAACTGCATATACGATATTTCAGCAGCTAACGAATTGCTAAATCAAGTGAAATGCTACATCTACGTGTCCACTGCTTCATTGAGGACCAACTCTATGACGTCACGGTGTTTCGTAAAATATTTCAAACTATAAAACTAGCATGTATTGAGATCATACGTCACCGAAAGAGCATATTTTCGTGCTTAATTGGTACCGATTTCATTCAAATGGCACAAATTGGAGCCCAAGCCTCCTCAGCAGCTAGGGCGGAAGCTTGATTTAAAACTCAAATTGGACAATTTTGAAAAATTATTCTAGAACTAATAAGTAATTTACATTCATTTCAGCTCAAGCGGGCGGCTCGGCAACTGCTAAAGCCGCTGCAAAGGCTGCTGGTAAGTCAATGAAAACAGTTTACTTTGATTGATAATCAATCATTAATTGCGATCATCTAACAACCGTTTTTTTCCAGCCGCTGCCAAGGGAGGAAGCAAAGGTATGAGAGCTTGATTTAAAACTCAAATTGGACATTTTTGAAATATTATTCTAGAACTAATGGGTAATTTACATTCATTTCAGCTCAAGCGGGCGGCTCGGCAACTGCTAAAGCCGCTGCACAGGCTGCTGGTAAGTCAATGAAAACAGTTTACTTTGATTGATAATCAATCAATAATTGCGATCATCTAACAACCGTTTTTTTTTCCAGCCGCTGCCAAG